CCCCTGTCATGTTTCTCAGCTTTTCTCCTTGCCCACTCCTTATTGTCTAATTCTCAAGTTCTCGCTTTCCTTTTATTTGTGTTGTAACTTTCTATATGTAATTCCTCTTTTAAGTTCTTATACTAGGGAGACAATATGATATTTACACATGTTGAATAATATCATTTTACATGACTCCAGTGAGAATTAAGTAATGTAGTGCATGTGAATATGATCTCTAAGGTGCTAGTGCAATATCTGGTGTAGACAAGGCACTGAAGGAAGGAAGGAAAGAAGGTGTTTTCCAAAAGATAAATAAATCCTAAGTAAATATTTGAAACGTGGCTTACAACCTCTAAATATTAAGTAAATTTAGTCAGTGATTAATAGCTTTCTAAAACAAAAAGTATCAGGCACAGGTGGGTTCCGTGGGAAATTCTACCAAACATCTGAGGAATAAATTGTTCCAAATCTCGACAGTCCCTTCTGGATGTTAGAGTAAGAATTCTCAATAGAACATTAGCAAATCCAATCAGGCAATATATAAATAAAAGCATAATATAGCCAAATGGAATTTATCCCACTTATAAAAGATTTACTCAATTTTCAAAGATCAATTAATGTTATATATATTGCAGAAGGAAAATCATATCACCATCTAAACAGACATAAAAATCAACAAAATTCAGCAACTATTTATGATAAAAGAGAAGGCTAACTTCCTTAACTTAATATGACCATCTCCACAAACAGCTAATGTCATATTTAATGGCAAGAAACTAAGAGTTTTACCACTAAGATTTATCAATGGAAGTATATCTGCTCTAAACACTGTTTTCAACATTTTACTAAAACCTAATAATGCAATAAGACACGAAAAGTAAATAAAAGACAAATTAGGAAGGAAGATGTCGTCTTGTTTGCTCATGACATGAATATATGGCTAGAAAATCAGAAAGGCTCAGCAACAACAAAAATTCACCTGGACATAATAAGCAATTATAGCAGTTATAGGGTACAAAGCCCACATAGAAGTCAATTGATTTCCTATATGCTAACAATGAGCAAGTGAAGTTCAAAGTGAAAGACAAGTTCCCATTTATACTGAGGCCCCCAATTGAAATATGTTGGCATAAATCTGTGTACAAGATTTATATGGTGAATCCTATTAAACTTTCATTAAAGATACTAGAGAAAAACCTATATAAATGGAGATATACATTATGTTTATGTATAGAAAGACTTAATGCTGTCAAAATATCAATTCTTCTTAATTTATGTGTGGATTCAATGAAATCCCAAAGTCCAAGCAAGCTATTTTGTGATTGCTAACATGCTTATTCTGAAGATGGTGTGGAGAGGTAAAAGATCTAAAGTAGCCAACCAATTGTAAAGAAAAATAAAGCCAGAGGGTTAATACTATCTGCGTTAAAGATTAAATATAAGCTATAGTACTCAAGGCAGAGCAGTATCTGTGAAAGCACAAATCAATGAAAGGAAGACCATCGTGTACCTAGAAGTATTTATATCATTGTAGCCAACTGAACTCTGACAAAAAACAAAGACAATACAACAGAACAAAAGTATTGTTTGACAAATAAGGCAAGAACAACTAGACATCCACCTTTAAATAATATGAGTCAGAAACAATAACTCAATAATATGTCATAGATGTAAATGTCCAATGTAGAACTGTCATATTCTAGATGATTACTTAAGGACAGAGCCTAGAGGAATGAGCATGATTTCCAGATACAACAGGAAAAGCACAATCCATGGAAAAAATAATTAAGTCCGAACTTCTTTAAAATTAAAATTTAGACTCTGAAAGAAAACATCAAGATAATGAGAAGACAAGCTGAGAACTGGGGGAAAAATATGTCCAAGAGGCGCAGCTGGAAACAGTCTGTGATCTAAAACATATAAGGGACTTCTAAAACATCTAATTAAAAAAATCAGATTAAAAAGTACACAAAATACCTCAATAGATAACTTTATCAAAGAAGGTATAGAGATGGCAAGAAAGCTTAAGAAAAGATACCTACATCATCCATCACTAAGGAGTTGCAAATTAAGACAATGATGTTTTACCACTCCTTGTCAGTTAATTAAAGCACACAAATCCAAAATACCAACAGCTCTAAATGCTCCTGAGGAAGGTTAGTAAGCAGCACTCATTCACTGCTGGTAGGAATGTGGAAAGCCACAGTGTTTTGGAAAACAGCGTGGTAGTTTCTTACCAAACTAAACACACCTTTACTGTTTGATTCAGCAACTACACTCCTCTGCATTACTCAAATGAACTGAAAACATGTGCACACAAAGACCTGCAATGGAGTTTAGGAAAGCTTTATTTATAATTCAAGCTTCCAAGCCCAAATTTGGAAATAATCAAGATGACCTTCCACAGATGAATGGACAAACTGTAGTCCATTCAGACAAAGGAAAATTCACACAAGAAAGAAATGAGCTTTCAAGCTGTGAAAAGACAGAGAGGGAATTTAAGGCATATTAGTAACTGAAAGAAGGCAATCTGCAAAGGCTAACTATACACTGAATACTTCTAACTGTACGACATTATGAAACAGACAAAACCACAGAGATAGAAAAGAATAAATAGCTTCCAGGGGTTGAGTGAGGGAGGGATAAATTGGGATTTCTTGAGGGCAGAGAAACTATTGTGTGTGATAATATAATGGTTGATATGTGTCCTCTGAAACCATAGACAGAACAACACTGTGTAAAGCTGAACGTCAGCCATGGACTTGGGTGCTCATGCATCTTCACAGCCCCCCTGGATGCAAGTAAGGTCTCACTGCTGTAGGGTGTCCGTGTTGGGAAAGGCTTTGCATGTGTGAAGACGCAGGCCACAGCAACCACCAACATTCCACTTTATTTTGCTAAAGTGCTTTAAAGGTAATGTTTTCTTAAACAGAAGATAAACACCTATAGAGAGATTAGAGTTCACCATGCTACTCATCACAGTAGTTAATGTTACAAGCTCCTCAGTCAGTTTTTCAGGATTTAATTCCAATAACACACTCTCTCTGATTCGGTCTCTTCATCTCTGAAATGCAGATAATAAGAGTGTCTATCTCAGGGTTTTAGAGGGAAGCAAATGAGATTTAAATTGCTTAGAACAGTGCACATCTCATAAAAAGTTTCAGTTCAATAAATCTTAGCTAGTTTTCCTTTTGTAAGTCTAAAGCAGCTTTTTAAAATCTACATCTTATTGAATTATCCTGACCTCCCTGCAAGCTTGGAATGATTGTCCTCACTTTAAAGATGGTGAAGCTGGAACTGAAAGTGGCTAAATGACTGCTGCCCACTATCTTATAATTAATAACTTACAGAGCCATGACTCCAATATTGGATTTGGGGCTTCAAAGCATGACACTTTCTACTACTTTTCTCACCAGACTTCTGACACTCAGGATATTATAGTTTCTTTATTGAGATTTCTTTTCAGTTCTTCTCTTTAGTAAGCCTCAGCACCACAGAGAAAGCCGGTGATGGACAAGACAGTGAGCCTGGAGATCTATTCCTCCACCAAGTACCACCCCTGGCAGAGGTGAGAAAGGACACAGGGGAGGGGGATGTGGGGAATCACACCCCATGTTTGGATGCTTAACAAGACTCAAAATACAGAGTTAGAAACTTTCATCGACATGTTTTAGGAAAGGTGACTCAAGTTTTGCCTAATTTGGGGACATTGGCAAAGGATATTGTTGTTGTATTAGTCTGCCTTTCTTTGTTATAACTAAATACCTGAGGTAGACAGGTGTTATAAAGAAAATAGGCTTATTTAACTCAGTTTGGAGACTGCAAGTCCAAATAGCCTGATGTAGTTTCAAGAGAGGACCATTGGCCTTGGCTGTATCACCTCCTATGGGTTGGCAATGGCATGACCAAAGCAGGAGGCTAGAGAGATCCAGGGGTCAACCTCAGGCTTTCACCACACTTTTCTGAAGAGAACACATGCCAGGAAACTAGTCCTCCCTTGTGAGGGCAGGGCTCCACGCGAGCCAAGGACACCCATTAGGTTCCACTTCTTTTTGTATGTGTGTTTCTTTTACTTCTTTTTAAAAATCTTTTAAAGAGAATAAAAAATAGTAAAAACAAACAAAAAACATTAGAAATGATACAGAATTTCACTAAACAAAATGATAGCAATGCAATGATGGTTGTTATACTGCATATTGTTGTCCTCCAACGAGCTGTTCAGATCACCAGATAGAAGCAGAGGCTGCAATTCCAAGGAGAGGAAGCTTCTAATACATGAGCCTTTGGAGCACAAACAACATCAAACCATATCACGATCCATAAAGACCAAAGAAGGTCTCACCCACAAAATAAGCTTGACCTGAAGTTTCCGGAAAGAGTATGTGCTAATTGATGGCACATGAAATTCGTCTCTGAAGTTTTATTGGTGGATTATTGATGTCATTACCAATTACATACTTATAAAGCTTGGAATGGTGTCCCAAGAACTTTATGACGGGAGCAAGGAAGGTCTTGAAAGGAAAGGAAAAGCAGGAGGTAGTAAGGTGTTGGCTCAGTTTTCTGTTTTTTTTTTTTTTTTTAATTTATTTTTTTATTGCATAGCTGTTGTGATCTGGAGCAGAGCACAGAGTCCAATGTCCTAGTGAAAGAGTTATCATGATCAGGGTCAATCAGGCAATCCTGCTGCTGATAGCCGAGACCCACTGGCCATTTCAGATCCAAGAGTGGATGGGCCAGGTCAGTGAGAGCTGTGCAGAAGTGGTGACACAGCATTTCCTAGGAGTGACTTATGAGTCCCAGCCGTGTGTTCTCTGAAGGTAAGTTCAAAGGCTGAGAAGAACCTTACTGGGAGAGGTCTGAGGATATTATTTACTGCTTGGCTCTACCAGAATGTGGAATAAATTAAAGGAAACAGTATAAAATATTTTCCCCACTCTACATTTCTAAAATTCAAATCCATAGCTGCCTAGTCCCTGATGGTGAGGGAGAGACTGAGGCAGGGGTAAGGGCCAAACAGCAGAGCCCAGAGGTGGCCCATGCACTGCTCAATTTTTCATCTGATTTTAAGTCGCTTATTTTTTGCTTTTTTTAAGAGATTGTTTTTTTCATAAAAATGTTTAAAACCCCCAGACAGCCTTCATTTTTATTTTTTTCACATCATGGTTGAGGGAACAAAGAACCAAGGAAGTAAAGCAACCTGTACAAGATCACAGAGCTGAAGAGAGAATTGCATAGTCAGCGGGACACCATATCTTCTGGTTCTTCTATCTGTTTTGTGTGTAATATAGTGAAAATTTTTTAGGGTCCAATAGTCATTCTTCAGAGGGCCAGAACTGCTGGCATCCCATTTCTGGACCAATGACATGTCCATCCTGAATGCACGTTAAAATCACCCGGGGGAGCTGCAAGTCACCCTGTTGCCTAGGTGCCACCTACAGAGATAGTGGCCTAATTGTTCTAGAGAGGGTCCTTAAGGAATCCTAGTATGCCGGAATTAATAACATTGCACCACAGCACTGAGATTCCAACTTACTGCCGAAAGAATGGCTTTTATAGAAATATCAACCAATAGCAAATGCTGATGAGGCTGTAGGGGAAAATGAATACTTCTGCACATTTGGTGGGCATGTAGACTGGTACAACCACTGTGGAAATCAGTGTGGTGATTCCTCAAAAACTAGGATTACAGGTCACATTTGACTCAGCTGGTCCCCTTCTTAGAATCTTCTCAAAAGAATTAAAAACAGCACCACAACGATATAAGTGCACCCATGTTTATAGCAGCATAATTTGTAATAGCTAGATTTTGGAAACAATCTAAATGCCCACCAACCAGGGAATGGATAAAAAAAGATGTGGTCTTTTTATTCAATGGAGTACTATTCATCCATAAAGAAAGAAAGATATCCAGATGCATGGATACTGTAGGTAAATGGATGCAACTTGAGACCATATTTACAAGTGAAATAAACCAGATGCACATGTGTAAACACTATATTGTGTCACTAGTGTGAGAAGTTGAAAGAGTAAATAAGAACCAAAATGTACAAAAAAAGAAATATATATATATATATATATATATATATATATTAGTTCTTCTAGTAATTTCTGTCTGTTGGAAAGAAAGGTTTGTCTTAATATTGTTTGGACAATTAAATGCCTATGTCTTATACTTTGAGTAACTAGTTTAAATTTAACAATACACAATATATTAACCATTCATACTTTACTATTTTTTTGAAAATTTTTTTCTCTTTAAACTAAAGCAAACAAACAAAAACAATAATTACACCAAGCCAGTGGTTTCCCAAGGGTGCTCCTTGGGCTCCCAGCATCAGTACCACTTGGGAGCTTGCTAGAAATGCATGTTCTTGGCTTCTATGTCTGGTCAACTGAATCAGAACTCTAGGGATGAGGTCACTCTACCTCATCAGCCATCCCCCAGGTAATTTTGATGTACACTGAAATTTTGGAACCACAATATGTTTCTACCAAGTTCCCAGATGCATGGATACTGCTAATCCAACATCATCTTCAGGAGTCACTTCTGAGGTAGTTGACATCGAAGGTTTTCTTTAGTTTGATGTCCTTATACTACTTGGTGCAGGCATGTTCACTGACAAAGAACAACTCATACTTGAGAACTATCTACAATTACAAAAATTGAATGGCTCAGAAACAGAATCTACCCAGGGCTTGAGTAGCAGGAGATGGGTTAAGCATAGGGCATCTAACCAACTTGATTTTCTATGAACCCAGAAACTCTGAGCTGACTCAGCCAACTTGACATTTCAGTGTCTTCTTCCTGAGCCATATTATAAAGTGTAGAATGAGTACATAACAATGCAATAAATATGAACACATAGACAATATATATGTACTCATAAAAGGTCTAATTATAGCAAGATTAAGCTGAAAGGTGGTTTGAGAAACGTGAAATACTATAAATAAAGAGAAAAAAGATAGATAACAGGAAGTAGAGAAGTAGGGGTGTAGAGTTTTCTCAAATGGGAAGAGGATCAAGAGATTGAGGGAGGGCAGGTGGTCATGGTGGTGCAAGTCGGTAGTCCCAGAATTCAGAGGGCTGAGGCAAGGGTGTTGCCAGCCTGGGCAAGTTGAGAGAGAGAGAGAGAGAGAGAGAGAGAGAGAGAGAGAGAGACAGAGACAGAGACAGAGACAGAGACAATGACAGAGGCAGAGGCAGAGAGTAGTGGAGGGAGGGGAAGATAAGACAAAAAGCGATGAAAAACAATGAAGATGTAGATGTGTTATGTGCATGCACCAACTCCCCACAAGGAATGTAAATGTCAAATTATTGCAAACTTGTACTAACAAAAAAATTAAAATAAAACAAAGAATTGTCTTGAAAATTTTGTAAGACAGCTGAAGCTGAAAGGAGAAATTTCCACAAAGAGGACAGATCCAGCCATGTGCTTAGGTCAGCTTGTTGGTATCATATGGGTAGAGAAAGACTCCATTAGTCCAGCTCCCAGTGGTTTTCAATGAACAGCAGAGTGAGGGCCATTTAGGAATCCAGACTTACATGACTGTAATAGGCTGGCCCTGGCCTGCCTGTTCTTCTCCAAAGAGAACCCACAATTGCCAGTTTAACTCACCTACTCAACTAAAAAAGGAGGGTATCTTTCTTGCTGGAATGAGGCTGAACTGATGTCCAATAATAACAAATGGACAGAAAAGTAAGAAGATTAGATTGGCTGGGTACAGAGGACTCCCTGGTGAAGGTGAATCTAATACGTGTTGCAGGAGATTATGTATTTTGAATTATTCACAGTTTCACAAAGTTGAAGTGAAGATTCCTATCCATTTTTAAGTACCTTTGATTATTGAACATTACCTCTTGTGCACTTTGCCACTCTGAGTGAACTCTCTATGACAAGGTTTTATAAAGTTTATTCTCATTTGGCATTTTAGCTTGTGGCTTGGAGTCTTATGCCTTTATTTGGAGGTAGGGAATACTTAGAATATAACAAAGACCATGCTTTGGATCAGTGCCATGGGGAATCAGTGCATGGTCTAAGGATGATTCCAGAGACAAGTAGCAAAGAATGAGTGACAAGGGCCTGTTCTGCAGATGGCTGTCTCCACCAACACTGGCACTTTCTTGAAGCCATGAAATGGAGTAAAAAAAGAGAGAGAGCAGTCTTAGGAGAAGGAAAACCCTGGTAACTTTGCATGGAGGTTTACAGTAGTGAGCAATCATTTAGTCCCAGAGCATAGATTCCCCTCCAGATCAGCCAACCATCTAGTAACCCCAAGAAGATCATTTGGATGCACTGTGGAACCCATGCCGGGGAATGCATCACTTCTGCTTTTTGCCAGTGGTTTGTGAAAGAAGTATGTTTAGTTTCCATATGGGGGCAAGTGCGTCCTTAATTATTTGTCACTTTTGGGCTACTGAGAATCCATACTTCTTTCACAAGATAACAATGAATCTTGAAGAAGGGAAAATCATGCAGGTATATATACAGGATAGTTGAGATGATTGTAGTACTAATTTCCATCAGTTTTTTGAAAGCAGAAGTTAATGTTTCAAATTTTCGCTTTGACTAACTCTATATGCTAATATCTGTAATCTGAGCAGTTACATCAAAGACATAAATGCACAGTACAAATACCATGGTTGACTATCTCTCATCTTTCTCATCTAAATGCGTACCATTTTTAATGTCTTATCAATTATTATTATACTCTCTTTAAAATAAAATAAAAAGTAAAAACGACAAGAAAAAAATTAAGATTTATTGAAGGCAAGCATTAATATTTAATTATTTGACCAATCTTGCATACCTATATCTGTTAATCTGAGTAACAGATTTGATGATAAAAGTATGCACTATAACAACCATTGTTAATTTTTATTCTTGTTTTGAAATTCTGTGCCATATGTATTGTTGTATGTGACTGTTTCTGTCTTAGTCTTTGCTATTTGTTTTTGCTTTTGTTTTTCTTTTCACTCTTAAATAAAATAAAATAAAAAGAAACAATGAATCTTTTTACTTAGTTCTTCACTTAAAGTAAAATAGTGTGAATAAGGATCTTGTCTGAAAACTGAGTTAGTATTCTGATATTTTTCCACTGCATCCAAAATCACTAGTTTTGGAGAATAAATGTATCAAAATGTAGAAGAAGGTAATCTTGAGAATCAGAGATGAGTTTGAATCCTTGGCTTGCCTCTTTCTCATTTCCTAACACTGGGCAAATTTTCTAACAATGGGAGCCCCAGATTTTCATCTATAAAAAAAGCATAAAGTGACTATTTTGTGCATCTGCTGTATGGACTAAGAGACTTGGCATATAGAAATGCCTAGCACAGTGAATTTTTGCATATTATTTACACCACTCTCTTTAGGGAGTAAGAAACCTTTAAAAATAATATAAGATACTTTTCAGTTAGCCTTTTCAGAAACTCAAATATTAAAAAATAACTCACAAAGAGTACTTGTTAGAGTGTGTTTCCCAGACAAACAGAATCACCATTAACTGGGAATTTGCTACGAATGCAAACTGTTGGCTCCATCCTAAACATAGTGAATTAGAAACTCACAGGGGAAGAGGGGGAGGGGTACAGCTGAAAAAAAATCTGTATTTTAGCAGGTCCTCCAGATGATTCTGATGCACTTTAAGGTTTTAGAACTACTACTGTAAAGAATAAGAAAACTAAGATGGAGCTTGGGGACTGGAGAGTGGACATGTGATATATAGTCAGCTCTTACAATTAAGTTGAAAGCATAAAAATTATAGGAAAGATTTTTTCCTAGAATCATTCTAAATGCTCCTCTCTGAAATTTCCAGATTCTCTAAAACTACCAAGACAACTTAGGACTTCTATGTGCTGCCAGCTCTTAATAGAGACAGTTATAACTACACTTGGAAAACTGTAGATAACCTGGGTTTGGTCCTGTGATGAGTACACAAACTGAAGGATATACTTGGGTTCATTGTCATGACCTCAGCCACCCCAGCTACAAAAACATTTTGTACCCATGTAAAGAAAGAAACTCTAGTGGAGATAAAAATCATTTTGCCAGTTTAAAATCAAACAATAGAAGTCAATTTTAAAACTGAGGAGGCTGAAAGCCTTCTAAGACTTGAATCCAGTACAGGTATTTTCATTGTCTTGGACATATTCCCACCTTCCAGCCTGACTTAATATTTCTTCTCCACTATCTTCTCCATCTTTATGAATTATCAACCCCCCAGTTAGAATTCTGTGATATAAAATTTGCAGAACAGCCTATATCCTCCTCCAATCAGTTCTAGCAGCATAAGTGTAATGAGTGACCCTTACTCTTCAATGTGACCATTCACTCAGGATCAGACATCTCGTGCAAACTTCATATGTGGCTAACAGTAGACAGTTTTCTCCTTAGCAGTGTTTCTAAACCATCACATTCCACAATGAGAGTTCCTCTTTCTAAAGGGTATTCATCCTCCTCTGCTGCCACTCCCCCAAAGGCTCTGTTGCTGGAACAGCTTTCTGGCTCATCTCTGAATCAAATCCCTCCCTCTGAGCATGGCAGGTGACAGTTGTCTTTATCTCCCTCTCTGCTCATTAGTCTTCCGCTTCCAGAAATACACAAAGCCCATGCCTGATACACCTGGAACAGCCTTTTTCCATCTGTCGGACTATTTCCCTTTCATTCTGTATCACTCAGCCCTGAAAAACGACTCTGAAGCTTGCTCTGAGAGAGCAGGCATAGCTAACCTGCTCATAAGGAAAAGACCAACCACCTCCTCCAGTTTGGCTGTTTACATGTTTGTATGCTTTAAATTATACAGATGCTCCCATTAACAGGACTTGTGAGCCCATTTACCAAACTAAAAATTATACACCCGAACTTCACAAGTGAAAGGTATATTTTCCTAGGTAATCCTAGAAAACATTTTTTCATATTCAAAGACCACCTAACAACACTAAGATTGTGATTTATTAACACTTAGAATGGCAATATCCCTTGGTTCATCTGTTGCAGGATCGACAGTGGAGAAAATCCCATTCATCCCATAATAAGGGCATATATTTTGGGTCAGATCTCAATAGAAATTTCAATATTTCTAGGTGTAGTAAGTACATATTTGGTAGAAGAATTCAACAGAAGCAAGGAAAGAGGTGAATTACAAACAATATCATTTTAAAAAATATATGAACATCTTTCTGAGCATTCTGGCTCATTTTGTTCACTCTGGTTTTATTATCCATACAGTAAGTCATCCACTCTGAAGTTCAACCCTCTTCAAATGAGGTTGCCTAAAGAAGGATCAAGTAAACCCAGACCATTGTGAGTGTATTTGAAGTCTATCACTTAGTTTTATTTTACATAGATAATCATAAAGAACTGAAAAATCAGAGCATTATTCTTGGGGATGATTTTACAGCTGGAGAGTGGGCAATGAACAAAGCCAACATGTCCTCCTTCTACAGTTCTATGTTTCCAAATCTCAAGATCCCCAAAGAACTGGAAGCAAATAATGAGGCAGGAATAATTAAGAGAATTGCCCTTCTCCAGATGGCAAGAGTTAAAATGCAGACTTCCCGGCTGTGTGCCTTGGAAAGATTGCTGCCTCTTTCTGCTTTTGTCTTCTCTTATATCAAATGTGGGTTATTGTGAGACTATATTATCAGGAGGGGCTCAGGAGTTATATTTGGAAAGTTCCATACGAGGGACTGAGTTAGACTTAGCACACCAGAGGTGCTTAAATGATGGCCTTATGGTTGTATTGAAGAGGACACACTACCTAAATCCTTGCAAAATTGATCTCATAAAAATCAAGGCAGTAGGACATTGAAGAAGAGGCTTAGAGCCACAAGACTGTCAGAACTTGACTTAGGAACCTGAGGGGTGGTTGCCAACCATTTGTCTGAGAGTTCACCATAGATTTTAAGTAAAAGAGTACTGAAATGCCTTTTCATCTGCCATTCTCCCTCAGAGCCATGTGAGTGTGGCATTTGCTGCTCTGAGTTCCTCCTCCAATGGCTAACTTCAGTGCTTAGCCAAGTTGACTAATTCATGAAGGACTAAGACAAGCAAAAGTGAGCCCTGATACCATCCGCAGATGCCCTCAGCAAGAAAGACTACTGGCCCTCTGTCATTTCTAAATGGAAGTCATGAAGTTGTCTTTTTAGTTTCCTATATTTTCCAGGTATTGGCACATCTAAAAACTGTCAAGACGTAACATTTTGTGGAGCAGGACCAAAGTCTCAACTAGAGACTAAAGGTTTCTCTAACCTCCTTGAGAGTAGGAAGGAGGAGGTAGTATGCTTCCTGACCACACATTCTTATGGTCAGCTCATTTTTGTACAGTATGGTTACACCACAGATAAATCAAGTAACCATCAAGAACTGGTAAGTCCATTGCAACAAGACTGCAGCAAATCTTCATAGGACCTCTGCTTTCCTTCTTCCCATTTCCACCTCCATGACTTTGGCTTCAGCCCCCTGGTTCTTCTGTCTCTGCTCATCCTTACTTCCTTTTCCTGCCTTCTGCACCTTGCCAGATGCCTGCTGGGAAGGCTTTGGGTTAAATGCTGCTTTACCTGCATTAATTAACTACCTGTTTCATAAAGCATCAAGTTGGGAGACATCTTAGGTATTCGCCAATAATATAAATGAGGTGATTATGTTAATAATCTGCAGGAATGCACTTTCATTTCTGTGAATTTTCTGGAAGCTCCATTCAGCAATTACAGCTTTTGAATCATGCTTTAAAGAACTTGCCAGCTGTTAGTGGAATATGGCATATCTAAAATAACATGGCTAAATAGTATCTGCTCTCTTTTCTGCTAAGCACAATGCTCTATTTTCTTCTACACTCTTCCTGCGGCATTTGCCTGGGAATATTTTGTAAGAGGAAGTGCCAGAGAAGCACAAGCTAGGGCAGGGAGACTGCTTTGTGTCTTTCCTTTCCTGTTGCCATGTTTACCCAAGCACTAGTGAGCAGAATTGATGAAAAGAACTGGGCTCTTTGCCCTATTGTGAACCTGCAGACAATAGTCACAGAGGAAGGTGAATGCAGGATTACCGCAGTATTTGTTGCTTGGTTTTTTCTTCTTCAATTTTTAATTGTTCTCAAATACACCTAATATAAACCTTGTCATCTTAGCCATTTTTAAGCATAAAATTTAAAATAGTCTTATTGTTGTTTAATCAATTGTCAGACAAATTTCATCTTCCAGAGGTTAAGCTGTGTATTTACTAAATAGCAACTCTCCATTTGTGTGTGATGGAAAATGTGTTTAATCTCAGCACTTTTGGGAGGCTGAGGCAAGAATATCACAAATTTGAGCCCAGCCTGAGTAACTTAGCAAGACCTTGCCTCAAAATAAAAAATAAAAAAGACTATAGGAGATGTAACTTAGTTTGAAGTTCCTACATTCAGTTGCCCAATACCACACAGCAAAAACAAAAGATCCTATTTCTCTCTACCCCCAACCCAGGCAATCTTCATTCCAGTGATATCCATATACCTAATTCTGGAAATTTCTTTTTCCTTTTTCAGTCCAGGAAAATTTGTATTATGTGAGCATTTTGTAAGATGTGGAAGTGACTCCCATTTGCCTACATCTTTACAGTGCTCCAAAGGATCTTAGAGCCACTACCTCATTTGACTCTTGTAAAAACAGTAACCTCATTTTAGAGAGGTAGAGACTGAAACTGATCTAAATAGATTTCCAGAAAGGTGGAGGGCAGGTTCCCAAACCTCAGGCTGTCCTGATCTACTCAGAAAGGGTTGATGACTTTTAAAAGCCATTGCCAATTCAGATTCCCAGAGTTTCTGTTTCTTCAGCAAATTATATGCAAAAACAGAGGTTTCAGTCAAGAAGCTCAGAGCCCTTCTCATTCTCAGTTCCTGTAGGATTCATTTTAGATTTTTGCTTCCTCCTTTAAGGGACATGTGACAAAGCCACATGAATCTCTAGAGGCAGAACTTTGATGGTGAGGGGATTCCGCCAGTAGAAAGATCTCTTAGGGGAAGGCATACTCCACAAGCACCTGTGCATTCGGTACTTTTATAAGAAGGATTTCATTCTCTTTTTAGTTCAGGAAAGCAGATACATGACCATTTCATCAGGTCCATCTTCAAAGATTCAAGGATCTTGTATTTCTGGTTGGCCACCCAGCTAGCGCATTATGGCCATAAGTTAAAGCCAAGAAGACAGTAGGAGGATTTGGGCCAGTATGGGAAATATTGGAAGATTACTCTAAGATGAAAATATCCTTAGTATTATCCATAGATACTAGTAAATATATTAATATTTCTTACCGTCTCAGGTGCTGAAGAATTATAACAGTCTTCTCCAAGACTTGTCAATGAAAAGTCAATGTGAAATGTCCCATTGTGCTAAACTTACGAAAGCCACTTAGTGGTGCTTTAAGGTTCTTAGCGGTAAGCTTTGACACCTTGCACGTTTACACAGAATCAAGCCCATAGCTTCACGGTGATTTCCATTTCCAGGACTATTTACAACCAATAGAAACTAGTAATTAGTCTCTATATTTGCAAAACCAAAAGTTCTTAGAAATCATGGTAAATACCATACTCCATGATAGATAATATGCCAACTAATGGGGGACATAAGTATCCATAGCCCCTTTCTAAACTTCTCTGGAAATTAGGATAGCTATAAGAATTCTACCGTGTTATACCATGTATTCTTTCCATTTGAACTTGTTTCCTATCAACTTCTATACTCCATCCCAAGATGTTCCCTTCTTACCCCACTCACACATGTGCCAGGCTCTGAGCAAAATTTTTATATATCTGCCTATGAATATATGTCTGTAGGAATTCTTCTGGGTTCAGTGAGGGAACTGTGCAGGCTGGAGGTCTTTAGTTTGTGTACTATGTTCTACTGACAAAGACATTCTTTTCATTCACTGAGAAGGGCTGGGTGCTATTGGCTCCATCTGGCCTTACATTATAATGTTAGGTAAGAAGCGTACAAGGATAAAAAGGAAAGTTGAAAATCTTTTACTCATTCCCCTCCAAAAGGAACAAATCTATAAGCTGTGACTCACAAGTATACAATTCTCATATTCTTATGTACTTCCCTATAGTGATTGTTAATGGAAATTCTTTTCAAAAGTAAAATCCAAATGATCTTTTCTCAACAATAAAAGAAGGAAACCTGGAAAGACTCTCTCATCCCATAGTCAGTAGGATTTGAAGAAAAAGAACTGTAGGGAATGAAATAAGTAAAGGCTGGCAATGGGAAAAAGAAATTGTTAGAAGCAAGTTGTTTTTAAAAAAACAAAAACAAAAACAAAAAACACTGTAAGGATTAATTTGGATGGAAAATGGAGCCTGGGGCTGATCCCTGTATCCCAAAGAAAACGTAAGACCCTCTGGGACCAGTTAATATGGAGTCTCATTCAAAGAAACAAAGAAACACATGGGAATTAAAAATAATTTAAAATAATTCATATCTCAGCTACATGACTCTGGGAAGACTTCAAAAGGGAGTGCACTTGCTAAGTCACAGCAGTGCTTTTCTGAGCCTCTTGCTCTTAATTTCATCACTCAGTGCAGCAACCCAAATGCTCTCCCACTATCTCTCATTTGCTTATCAGAATTTCTTTCTCCAGAAAAGTCTGACCCTCCCCTCCCTCCTAGCATTGTCTCTTCTTTTTACAAAGAGCTCTTGTCTTTTTCCCAGTGTAAATGGTTAAACTCATTTTATACCTGTTCTTCTCAGCCTTTCCTACCTATTGTCTCAGGACTGAGCAGCACAAACCTAGAAACTGAGGCACGTTCTGAATCCTAATTTGGAAGAAGAGAGAACAGGAAAATGACTCAAGATAGAAGAATTCTCAGTAGTGAGTGGAGAGTAGGCAAAAGGCTTATAAATATGCTCAATTTTTTTATGAGATGATTTTTTCCTTTTTATCTCAGCCACATAGGAAGATGCAGCTAAAAGATGCTGCCCACAACTGATGCCTATGACCCTTCACTACCACTTACTGGCCTTTAGTTCTGCCCTTTGAATTTCTCATGGTAGATTCCCCTCTACCAAGGACTACTTTGTGCCATCTTAGCCTTCAGCTGGACAGTGCAGATCCAGGGGTGGAGAGGCAGGCTTTGGAACTAGACCTTATTAGCGGAGAGTCAGGGAGCCACACACTTACCATTGCAGCCAGGGGGCCTTAAGGCAAAACAATGGCTGATCCCAGTGCAGCCATGGAATGACAGGGTATGGACTCTGAGGTGAAGTCACAAGATACACCATCTGGTGAGTAGAACACAGCATGAACATGGCAACACTTGGGTATCTTTTGAGAGACTTTGGAACAGGATGCATTAGAAAGTCCACAAGCACAGTCAATAGACTTGGACCCTAGTTAGTGAGGCTGCTCTTAGGAAAGGGTCAGCATCAAGGGAGTGTGAGACCTTAGAAAACATCTAGTTCTGAAGGACTCACAATAGAAGGTGACACAGTGGTGCATGTGGGAGAAGTTATATCTTCCATCTCAGAAATTCTGTAAGTCTACATGTGATATGTTTCAAACATCTATAAAGAAAAATAAGAGGAGAATTGTGAGAGGGATGAGCAAAGAGCTATTGGTGGTCCAAGAGAAAGAAACCAGTTGAGGTGATCAGGTAAGGCCTCCAGGGACAGTTGGCATTTGAGAACTGAGGTTAGGGAGAACTTCAAAAGGCAGAGGTAAGAGGTAAGAATTCCAGGTAGGAGGGGCACCACAAGAAAAGGTAGAGCAGAATGTGGAGAATGGTGTTGGACTGATCCTGGGGGTCATATTTTAAAGGATCTTGAAAAAGAGGGTAAGAAGTTTGTACTTAATTCAGGGAGCATCTGGGAGTTAGGGAACTTTTTCAGCAGGATCATGATTGTAGTTCTATGCATCTGGAAGTCAGGTGGGGTCAATCTGAATAAGGATTGATGAGAGGAAGAGAAACTTATTAGAAGATGCCACAGACTAGTTAAGAGGTAATGAGTCTGACATAGAGCAATGGCCTTGGAACTGCAGGTTGGTGAATCAGAGATGCCTGCAGCATTTTACCTCTGGTTGAGGGATCATGCAAGAAACAGGAAATTTACAACAATCTTATTGGATGAGAGATGATGAAGTTGAATATAAGGATGATAAATTACAGGTATCAACAGAATACTAGCTGTCCAGTGGGAAGTTAAAAGGATGGTCTAAAACTCTAAAACTGAAGATAGATATGGACAAAACACCCAATGCTTGAATTTCTGGGTTTATTGCTAATACCAGATATCTGTCTCTGCATTTACCACCTACAGATTCAAGTTGGACAGAAGGCAGCAAATGCACAGAAAGTAAAGCATGGAACCAATTATAGAGTTGGATCAAGTGCAGATATTTTATGTAAGTATCATGTTTTCCTCTCCTATAGCATCTAAGGCTCAAAAGAAGTCAATGGGGTTTGCTGGGTAAGGTGACAGGAGAGGAATAAATCAACAGGAAATCATACAAATCAAAATTACCAAGGATAAAAGGGAATCTGTATGAGTCCAAAATTATATTCTGTAGGGAAAAAGTGTGAGCCTTTGGAAAATAAAATACACTGGCTCTAATCCAAATTCACCCCTGGCTTCAGTTAAAAAGAGCCGTCAAGTTAGAACAAATGTTAAGAGGAAAACATTATCCCCTGATCCTTGGTCAGTTAATTCCAAGAAGACCCATCAGGCTAAGAAAGCCAAATAGGGTGGGATCTAGAAAAAGAATAGAAAAGACCTTGACTGAAGGAAGAGAGCATTGCATTTCCCAGCCCAACCACCATCTCTTCCCTCTCAGAGGTCCACCTAGAAAATATTTGCATATTTTTCTGTTAGCCTTTTATTTCAGTTCACCCTTTCCTTATAGCCTTTGATTCCATCAAGAAACTTTAACCAAATTCTCTACTCTACTATGCAGGTAGAGGGGCTAAATAAGACATGGCCACTGCCCTGCAAGAGCTACCTATAAAGGAGGAGAAGACAGGTAGGCAGAGAGCCCTAATCTAAAACCATTTCTTTGTATTGTAGATTGATCTTTATTCCCCAGAAGGTGAAAGAAGCCTGTCCTTCCCAAGTCCAGTTTCTACTTCTGTCATATTTCATTCCTAGATGCTACATCTGAGTTGTCAAGAGACGGGTCTCAAGACATCAAGATCCCTTTTTCCTATACATTTAAGCTGAGGGACAGTGGTACCCATGCATTTGTTCTGCCTAAAGATCAGATCCAGACAACCTATGAGAAAGTCCTGGAGGCTGTGCTCTCAATCCTGGACGATATGCATGCCAACCACTGGCTCTCTAGCCGTGCATGGGAGGCCACAGGTACCTCTGTGGTGGTGAGCCCGCTGTGGTTTTTCACTTCTCCGCTCTAATTGTAGCCTAACCATGCCTGCTTAACCGCGGTGACATGGATGTGATTAGAGAGAAGGTGTGGGCGGTCGCAGAGAAACCAAATCACTGAACTAAAAATAATCACTAATCCAATAAAGAAAAATTGTGTTGGCGTTTTAATATTAGTTTTGTTGGTAATTAAATTTTATTACTCTTTAGGAGCATAGTATTACTTATTGCTACAATAATGTTCCCAATTAAACCTTCTAAAACTTAGTAGCACACAGTCTATATGTAGCATCTGCTGGTCTAGCCTGTGCTCAGATAGGCATCTGTGCTCAGGGGTAAGGCCGCTGGCTGATTTTGCCCAGGATCACTTTTTCAGCAAGGCCAAGGCAGCCTCAGCTAGGGCAAGTCTTCTCCTTCACTATGTTAGGCCAGGCATTTACCAATGGCAATGAACGAAGAGAAAGAACGAAAGGTATAGGGCAAGTCCCAGTATGCAGGCACTTTTTAAGGCTCTGCTAGCATCATACTTGCTAAGGTACTGTAGACTAAATAAAGTCACGTGGCTGAGAATAACATGAACGAATGTGGCAAGCAGCAAGCTGGTTTAGATTTATGAGTGGGATAGCTGAGCTATAACATGGAGTGACTCAA